TTTTTTGGTAAGCGTGATACATTGTTTCAGGATCTTCCAGGATTCAGAAGAAATTTCAATTCAAAAGAACAGCATTTATTTGAAACAGAAATCTTTCTTTCATAACATTATAAATGTTTTTAGTCACTTTTGATCACTTTCTTAATTAAAAGTATTATTTTCTTCAAATAATTACTTTTAAAAGGTAGTTTATATATAAATTAAAAATGCAATAAAAGTTTTCTATTAATGTCAGTGCATAGTATTTATTATTAGCAGAGCATAAAAACAGAAGAAATCCATGGTACATCTGATTTATGTGTGCGTGTGTGTGTGCGTGTATGTGCGTGTGTGTGTCCATGTGGTTCCTCACCTTCTTTTCACTGTTGTACTCTTCAAAGATCTCTGAAGCTCTGTCCTCCCCTCCATCAGTGAATAGCATGATGATCTTATTACAGTTTGCTCTTGAAACATTAATCTATAAAAGGAACAAATCATTTTAAAAGTGCAAAAATGTATGTGTGTATATATACTATGTGTATATATATATATATACTTGTCTTGAAGATGTACAATAAACCAGATGCCACTAGCTATAATATTCACTGCTGCCACAAGATGGCGCAATAAACTTAAAACTTACCTTTAAACAGATTTGATCTCAATATATACAATACACATTATATAACTTATAGAAAAAAAGTTCATCACAAAAAAAGAATTTCAAAACAAAAAAAGCTGTTGCGTAGGTAAATATTTTGAGGGGTAAATATTGAGTGATATTATGGCCCCATTATGTTTTTTGGCTTCTTATTTAAGCTACATTAGATATTCTTACTGAGGAGAGCTGGTAAAAAGCCTCCTTGAAGCCGATTTTATAGTCAGTGGTGCCATTCGCTGTGATCTTCTGGACTGCTTCCTTCAGAATCTTCTTATTACGGACATTCGCTTGGACCAGGTTCTCAAAGCAGGCTACCGACTTGGCCGAATTGTTGAACTGAAACAATATAAAAGCATCGTAGTTAGTTATCCGTAAAAATCTGTTTAAGACTGTGAGGTGCAGCTTGCATACATGCAAAGATTGTTATGAAATCATTTCGATTCAAGGCTTTATTCGGGTCCTCTATATAAGTCCCATGGCTCAGTGCCAGCAATACACTTAGAGCACTGCTGGCTAATTTCATTAACGCCAAGCTAATGTCACACAGCTGGAGTCAGGCCATAAAATACAAGCGTGAAGTTATTAAAGAAATGGAGGAAGAAAGTTAATTGAAAATGTACAAAACAACTCACTCACTTAAAAACTGAATACAGAGTTTGTGATTTTTATTCCTGTCAGTAGTCTCATGAAGAAAATGAAATAAACGATGCATTTCATAAATGAATTGCACAGCGTCTAGAGCAGAGGATGAAGAGGATGCAAAAAAAATAAAAAATTACAACAACTATGACGTTATGGATGCTTGGAGGCTCCATGCCTCTGTTTCCCTCCAATTTTCTATTCCTACTCAGCAGGAATCCAGATTTTTTGAGCGTCGGAGGAGTTCATCATTTAAACACACTCTCAGCAACACACATATCTCCAGTAGACTCACAGAGACGATGTTGACGTAATCATCATCGGAGAGAGTCTCCAGCATCTCGCTGACGGAAGTGCGAATGAGCTTCAGTGTCAGACCCGACACGCTTCCACTCCTACAGAGAATAACATAGTTAGAACACAGTTTGAACATGTTACTACTGTATATAATCACTACAATTTGCTACAAAAGATTAGGTTTATTTATTATTTTCAGTCATTTTATTTGATTTTGCAGGAAAAAGTATCTTAATAAAAAACAAATCCAAAAGATAGACATCCAACTGAAAACAACTTAATTTGAAATAAAACAAAACAAAATAAAATAAAG